ACGTTAACTTCAACAATACTTTCTGACTGCAGTTCAATTACTCACTACCTACACACGTTGTCACGTCACGTTTTGACCATCCTATATATATACAAGACTAACACTATATCTAGTAATCTCCCGACAATTTACGAAGATTCGAGAGAACGAGTGGCGTGACACTAGTCACGTGACCTCGCTGACGCAACAACATGTATATATGCATTCAATTTTTTATTTATTTTTACATATATATACATGCATATATATATTCTCTTCTTTTATTCGATTTTTTCGCCAAGTTGGCCCAATTAGAACGATAACCATTCTACGAACTTTTAATCTTGAACCTCGTGCAGGGTGAAGAAGGATTGTTAATCTTCGAACACTCTTGGTAATTAATAGTTTTTTCTCTAAACTATCAACTTTATATCAAAATAACTGCCATACACCACACACACACACACACACACAGTAACCTGAAAACGAAAGGCAGAAGACTTTCGAAATGTCGTCCTCTATACTTGTGTTTCTACAACAGGCAGTTACCGTCCATTCAACTAAATTAATCGTGTTGGCTGTTGAATTTGATATCATTTTACAACTTCGTAAAATTACTATAAAAATTACGTCCATTCGTTGTTTGCTCTAAATACAGGGAACATAAAATGTAAAAGTTAGACAGCCAGATTCAAACTGAAAGTTTCTCAGTATGCAGAAGAACATGGCAAGAAGATGTTGTTCGTGTGTTTGAAGTGGATGAAAAATCTGTGCGAGAGTGGAGGAAACAACAGCCAAAATTAAAAGAAACACCAAAAACTAAACGGCTATGAGGGGTGAATGTGTGAAGGGGCCAACACTGGAAGAAGATCTGAAGGTTATTTCACAGACAGATGTGGGCCACTCAGTATCCGTGATCCTGATATGCCTCCGAACTCAGCAAATGGTCAAGCAGATGGGTGTCGCCAATTTTACGGGAGCCCCTTCATAGCATTCAAATTCATGAAACGAAACAGACTACCTGTTAGAGCCAGGACGACCATTGGCCAAAATCTACCCGTGGACTGAGAAGCTAAAGCGGAAAGCTTCTCAGAGTTTGTTTAACAGCAGATGTCAGATTTAGACATCCATATACTGTACTTCCTTGGTAACATGAACGAGATGCCCACAACTACGGGACGTGAAAAAATAAATTTCATCATTCTACTATCCTGCTTCGCTGATGGGACCAAAATCAAGCTGATGGTCATCTTCAAAAGAAAAACACTTTCCAAAGAGAATTTCCCCACTGGCATTTTAGTGAGGGCAAACAAAAAAAGCTGAATGAATGAGGATGATATGGAACAGTGGGCTGAAAACTGCTGGCGACGGTGACCAGGGGCCTTCTTCACCAAAAGGAAATTCTTCTTGGTATTTGACTCTATGTCAACCCATAAGTGTGACTCTACCAAGAACAAATTTTCAAAAATTGACGCTGAAATAGCCGTGATCCCTGGATGGCTCACAAAAACTATAGCCACTTCACCTCACCGTAAACAGAGCGTTGAAACTGAAGATCCGGGAGAAATGTATGAGAGAGGGCTTGCACGAATATACAGCCTCTGTGAAAATGAAGAAGGTCAGCTGTGCCAAAGTTTGTCATTGGGTTGTAGAAGCATGGAATGTTGTCAAAGTATCAACCATTTTGAATGTTTTTAAGAAAGTGGGCTGACTTCTGGGGAAGAGGAGGACGAGAGTGATGACGATGTGGATTACAACACACCTATACTTCCAGACTCAGAGCTGCTTCAGCTGTTTCACAGTGACACAGAAGATGAGGACTTTGATGGCTTTACGGAAGACAATTTACCTTTAACTTTGATTTAAATAAAGCATTGCCACGTTGTGAACATACGTTCATATATTTTCATTTGAAAGATGTAATTTAATTTCTTTCTGTCGCAATACCTTGTACAGGGAAAATTGTACTTATTAGGGAAGAAACTGTATTGTTTATTATAGTAATTTAATTATTTCATACCAAATTAGATATATGCATGTAACACGTGCAAAAGAACTGTTATTTAAGATATTGCGATTAAACTTACAAATAAAGCTTGTATCTCATTGATAATTTAACTCAATTCCCCTATGTTTATGTCACATTGTGAAGCCAATCACATGTTAAAGGTTATGGGACGCTATGGGACACATTGAAAGTGAAACCTAATTGTCTTGGAATATGTGAACAATTAATCAAGTCACAATTATAATATATTCAAATGCTGATCAATACAGTCAAAAGTATTTGTATTTATACTGTGTCCTTTGTCCAGAGAATAACTGGGATTGCTAAAAGAAGTACTCATCGGCCGATTGATAAATCGCTCCACGTGTTGAACAAGAACAACACAAACAAATATTTGGAATAAAAAATTGTCGACTTCAGTCTTGAAAAGAACAACAAAAGTAAAAATACCGTATTACCCGCACACGGGGGAACCCCGCAGTTGGAATTTTTGAAATCTAGTTTAGTATATAGACCTCGCGTTATTTGTGCAAAAATACGGTAAATAAAATTCCATGGCAGTAGCTTAGATATCATAATAATAGTAAACTTATACTCAGTGTATTATTTGGTTATGATTGAATATTTTCAATCATTCAGAATGGAATATTTTACAAGTACACAATATTTTGAATATTTTCTTATAATTTTTCAGTAGAAGATGCATATTGCCGAAGATGGAAAGTAACACCAGCTTTGTGCTATTTTGAAATTATGTAATAACTGATACCAGAATAGCTGCTCAAATTCTACAATAATAATTACAGTTAACAATAAAAACTCTTAATTATGAGCAACATGCAAACTACAAAAGTCTTCTGTGAGCACTCTGCCCTAGGTCATCATTTGAGTATCCACACTGCTAATGGTGCTTTTAGGCATTAAGTCACACCTTGCTAGTACTGAGCTTATATCTGGAAGAAACGTCCCAAGAGACAGAAGATTTAAGTGTTATTGGATTTTCATGATCAGAAGGTAAAGGTTGCACTCGTAAAGTAGCTAATACGTGTCAGCTATTGTGTGTAGGAACAGATATCATCAGTCTCACACCTATTTTTTCCCTACGAGACAAGGGCTCTGTTAAGTAATAATCAGACGGTAGTTGGTTAGAGGGTATGCTTTGGCAACAGTGAGCATTATGACTGTATGTGTTGATCAAGTAGAGATCCGATTAAATCTCAAAAACTGAACTATTCACAGTGTTAGGGATACATGTTCTACAGGTGATATAG